TTTATATCATTTTATATGTAATTCTTTAAAATGATATTACTTTATTATTAACCGATTGAAATAAACACTAAATATTAAATGAAGCAAATCGTATTCAAATCGGTTAAGCTGTTTCTGAGATTAGCGTGCACAAACGTACAGACAAACAGACAAAATTCTAAAAATAATTGTTTTGTGTTCTATTGCGTTCATATATAATATTTTTTCTTTTATATCTTCTATGTACAGACAGCGACTAGTTACGATTTTATTATATGTATTGATAATTTTGTGAGTATCATATAGTAATTCAAGCTTTGTGTATTGTAGTAAATGACGTAACGCCAATATTGATGTCTTTCAGTCGTTATAATACGTAGTACCTGCGACTTCATCGGCGTGATCGGGATATGTTTACTGAACGGGATAAAATGTAGCGCATATCTTTCTGCATTCCACATAGTACGTGTGTACTATATTTTATAGTGGTCGGTCTTAACCAACATTAAGCCGTTAAGGCGCTATTAGGTGACAAACGAACTCACTTTTACATTTGTAATATTAGTAAAGATTTAGAAACAAAATGCTTGAATTAAATTAGGCATGACAAACAAGTAACATAGTACCTAGTATACCCCTTAACTCAGTAATGTGTTCCCTTGGGATTATTAGCAATGTTTTTTTTTAATTAAAATGTTTTCCCGATCTTGCAATCCAAAACCGAGTGAATTCATTATTATTATCATTCATTTATTTTTATTCCCATATATATATATATATATATATATATATATATATATATATATATATATATATATATATATATATAAAAAATAAAATCTTATGTATAAACCATGATATTGTTAATATCATGGTTTATACGGTTAACACTAAAAAAACTAAGTTACGTAAATCGCTTTCCACCCAATCGTTTTTACTATAGAGTACAAACTAAATAAATATAATTGAATTTCTGTGATCTAAAGAGTTTAGTAGTCACTACATAAGCTAAACTTTTAGTAAGCAATTTTATTACCTACTGATTTTTTTTTATCTAACCTTAATTGAGATCAGGCCTCAGAATATAGGAATATATAATTCCCTTTTAGGTAGTTAATTGTATAAAGTTATTTATACACTTCTTATTTATTACCACTAAAGACATTTCTTTGAAACCACTTTTTTCGGCAATAACGTAGAATCCTGTTTCTCTTATTGCGTCACATAACTCAATGTCATTTCTAATTCCTGTCATATTTTAGTCCGGTAAAATGTTTTTCTTTATTTTATTTACCAAGTCCACATTGATTGCCGGGGATATACGGTTGGGGTATTTTTTGATTGACAATTTTCGCGATGAGTGCGCCCAGGGCAATCGTAATACTGTCGTGCCCGCGTAAGCAATTTCACATCTACTCATCATCAATATATACATACAAATCATCTACAAATATATAGCGTGATGCTTTCATATTTTTATAAGAAGCACGTGTGGTATTGAATTGAGAAATAAAATTTAGGGTCCCACATAGCAATGTTTTATAAACTATAACTTTTTTAGCATTTATCCAAAATGGAAGTATGAATGCTATGCAGAATATGCTTATACTAGTTTAATTAAAAAAGAACAAGAGTTAATTTTTAATGATATTTTATACTTAATACATAAATACAATCTACTTCTCAAAAGTTTACCCTAATGGTAGTCAATATACCCAAAAACAATCACACTTTAATGGAAATATTTCATTTTATAACGTAAAATCAAAAGTTTAATTAGTAAATATTACTTATTTTATAATAGCAGTATTTTTTGCGTTGGAAAAGAAAAATGATAGATTCGATCGATATAAAATTAATATGGAAATAAATCGCTTCGATTGCAAAAAGAGTCGAGATCATTGGCGGCATAATTACGTGACATAGAAAAATTGAGACAAATTAAGGAACTTCTCATAGAACTTACTTAAAACACTATTAAAATTGTTTTCTTCTTCTTATACTTTAATTTATATGGCTGCTATCAATTAAGATCGGTGATTTTGTTAACTTCATGGTTAGAGAGACACAATGGCGTATTGTTTTACAGTTGATTAAAATATCGCGTGAAATACAATAATTATAGTTTAACAGAGAGCTTTATTTTTTAAGTCGGTTAAATTGAAACTACATGGTGTATCGGTTTAATGGATGTAGACGTAATGTCTTATTGTATCCGTGGGGTCAGGAATCTATTAGATCACTCCCCGAGCACTTTAGTAGAACAGCATCTTGGGCTACACTTTAATCACTTACTTCCTTATAGATATGAATACTGATAAATATATAGGTCGTACGCAGTAATAGAATACATTCGAAATGTTTGAAAAAGCTAGACAGCTTTTGGTAATTTTAAATACAAAATTTCATTATTCCAATTTTTTATTTAAACATTTCCTTACGTAATTTAAAAGTCCGCTGGAAATATCTCTTTTTAAAGATAAACACGCTCTTTTATATTACTTATTTATTCATATTTTATTTTTTATTATTTCTGTGTGCAATAAAGAATAAAGGAATAAATTCCGTGTTTGTCTAAGGACTATTTAATACTCTTCGTATGATGAATCAGAAATTTGTTAAGAACGTGTATAGATATAAAATTTTTGGAGGTATTTTAATATTTAAGATTATGCCCCGTGGCTTTATCTGCGTATGGGTACTAAATTAATCTGATAATATGAGATTTATGTCTACGTATAATTTCATGAAAATTTATTAATGATATTTCAAAAGATCTTTTGAAATATTGTGTACCTACGTATTGTTAAATGTGTAGGCATTCTGACTTAAAACGTTCGAGATTTTAAAGAAGCCGCCGTGTGTGCCCCGGCATAGAATGAGCCACCCCTTCCTTTCCCGTGGATGTCGTAAGAGACAACTAAAGGAATTTATGATCGAGGAATGGGAAGCAGCGTCACTATTAAAACATCTCTGAAAGCTTAACTGCGGTTGCTAACCCACCTACCAAGCGCGGCAACTACTGGCAAAACAGCAATGGGTAGTTAACGGCTGAAATAATAATAATAAATTCAACTTACTAGTTGAATTATTTAGTATAAAAGCCAGTATATTGGCTCTGTATGATTTTTTCTTCATAATCAAAATCAGTTTATTATCTGGGCAAAAAATTGGCATTATTACATACATAAGCATAAAAAAAAATTGAAGGACTAAAATATAATTTTATTTAAAATATCCAATTTGTAGTCTAGTCTTATCAGCTTCTGTGGAAATATTTTTAATGTGTAATTATTTATCTTCTTGCAGCTACTGTAAATTTTTACGAATGTTATGTATACTGATAAAAAGTATATTTACAATACATCAGTATCTCATTATGTTATGCATATGGATACATTAGTTGTGTATTTTATTAAAAAAATTATTGTACTTAAGAGCGTTCATACCAAAGTGTGATAACGTCTATGCCATTTATTGATTTTAGAATCAACTCAATTATTTTTTATTATACCTAAAATAGCAAGCAAATAAGACGACAGATAGTGCTAATTGTCGCTTATAGATATAAATAGCATCATCAATATCAGTGACTATATTGACCCATGATACCTCTCATGCGTTGCCATTCCTAAGGACAGAAAAAGTTCGTAAATGCACATTAAATTTATTAAGGTTATTGAACGATTTCGAGTACAATAATGTTACTAGGATACGAAACCCATCCTATACAGAAAGATGTAAGACAGGGTAATGTCATATCTACGAAATTCTTTACAGCTGCATTCAAAGATGTAAATTTTAAACTCCAGGTTTGGAAAAGGTGTGGTATAAACATCAGTGGCGAATATATCACTCACCTTTGATTTGCCGATGATATAATAATCATGGTGGAATCTTTGGAGGACTTCATTACTATGCTCGATGACCTTAGTAGTGCTTCTCAACAGGTAGGTCTTAATATAAACATAAACAAAAAACTAAAATCATGTCTAACGTTCATGTCACACCTACACCGGTTATGATTAAGATTACGGTATGTATAGTTAGGACAACTTATCCGACTAGGTCCGACGACCAACTTCGACCGAGACGTCAACCAATGAATCCAACTCAGCTATGCATCGTTCAGAAAACTACGCCATATCTTCTCATCCAAAACTCCTCAAAATTTGAAGACGAACTTTTTTAATCAATTCTTGTTCCCAACGATGATCTATGGTACTAAAACATGGTCCTACACGGTTGCCCATATGTAAAAGCTTCAAATATTCAGCGAGTTATGGAAAGGGCTATGCTCTGAGTTTCTTTACATGACAGAAACTAAAGACCCGACATAACTCGAAGATAATAGGTTAAAACCTGTAGTACAAATCACCAGGCCCCCAACCGATATGTGTTTAAATAATAATTAAACAAAATACATTCCACTGAAATTACACAATCCAAAAATAAAAATAAAAACAATAATTAATAGTAGGAAATAAAAAAAAAGAACAATAATTGAAATTAATCAATTTTTAATGTTTATTAATGACGACATTATTTAAAAAGTGCTCTGATAACGAACGAAAACTAAGTTTATTGTATTGCAATATTAATGATAAACTTTCACTAAAATTCAGAATTATTAATTTAAAAAAGTGTTTGAAAATTTCTAAAGTTTTTTTTTTTGAGTATAAAAATTTTAGTGTTGTGTAGACTGAAACATTTTAACTTTTTTTTTTAATCAATTTATTTCAATTTTATTTTATTTTTTCGAAGAAACTATGAACTTTAAAAGAATTAGCGAAATCTTTTCCATTATTTTTTACATGTTTACTAACGAACAATAGTTAATTTATGTTGTTTATAATTAACGTTTTAGTTAATTATCAGAGTACTTTTCTAAAAATTGTTTTAAGTTATTGGAAATTGACAAATTGGCAAATGCAGAATTCAGTGTGAACGCTCTTAACTATGTTATCGATAATACATTATGCATCTGTTTTTTTATGCGGGTCATTCAGAACAGACGTGATTTCATTTACGTTGTAGAATCGTAAGAGCGAGATGACGATATACTATCATCAAAAGGAGTTTGTTCGCTCACACATCAGATCATTATTTGTGTTGTGGCTATCTGTGAGACCGGTTGCCGGTTGTTTGTTTACGAAGTCAATCTATCGATATGTCTTGTTGTAAGTAGTATTAAACTTTATTAATTATAAATACTTGGAATGCCGATGATACTGCTTTAAATAGTTGTTTAAATATTTGATGTCAAGAAACTATATTTCAAAGATAATAAGACCATTACATTATTCACTTAATATAAATACTTGCATATATTTACTAGAACTTGACTTTCACTAATGCTAGGAGAGGCGCAACTTTTCATCAACAAATACTTTTATCTTCCTATTAAAACTATTTATATAGCAAGCTTTTATATGTTTATGCAGTCTATTGTAAAATTGTACTCTCTCAAACTGAATAGTTCTTTTCCTTATATATTCCTTATTCTCAATTCAAATCATTTATTACACGGTTAGGTTATTCAATTCCATTTTTATTTCCAGTCCAATACTTATGATATTGTAATTACAAGATGAAATTGAAATTATTATTATGATTTTACGAGATTGTACTACTAATTAAATTCTACATTTTTTTTTTTCAAAGAAACAAAGTTTAATTTTTATAACAAAATATTAACACAGCGCGTTTAGCTATCACATTAGTACGTGAGGCCCCAAATTTATTGTCTATTGAAAATTGTTCATTTTCACTATTTTTTTTTTGTCTTATGGAATGCCGTTTCTCTTATTGCTCAGAGTCACTACTCAGTTTCGCTAGTAGAATAGGTGCTCCATTTTTATGTGGATCTATTTCCTGGTGATTATATCAATTCATAAATATTGGTAATCATCAATATGGACTCGATTATTTTGTAATTCTATGTTACATAATGACAAACAATCTCACGGTTCACCTGATGGAAAGCAATTCATTTTCCAACAGGTCGACAGCGTCAGCGTCAGCGTTTGGACCATTGTGTGTATATCACACAATGGGCACTTATAAACATGTACAGTATCGTGGATAGTAAAATATATAAAAAAATATAGTGAGCAGCCCTAGTTTTGCACGGTTTAATTTTTTAAAACACAGTCCATATTACTAATAAAGTAGCTTTATATAGGTGAAATAATTTTTAAAATTGGTTAAGTAGTAAAATATACATATAATTAAAACATCTATATATGTATCTAGGAGTTCTCACTGCACGTTGTTTATTTGTAACTCAGTGTAATTTTAATAAGTGCTTATTTACTTATTAATTAACTTATTATTTACTAGGGCAGTAACAAACTAATATTATATACAGTATTGATTGACTATATAGATATTGACTGAGTGTATAGATAGATCGTCCTCAATATTTCAGCATTATCGTATTTAAACATAGATAGTAAGTTATTGTTTTGCCTATTGAATTCTTAGAGTTTCACAATGAATTAATACAAAGTCTTAACATTATCGCTGTTTATTTTGTTATGGTAACGTGACTTTAATTTTAATTAAGTTTAAGTAAGCCTTATCAGAGTATTTTAATATAATTGTTTATGTTTTTGAATTGTATTTGATTGACAGTTTGTAGAATTACAATTATTTTTTCATAAACGTGAATACCTACGAGTATAATACTTCCATGGATTTTATACTTTAAACCCCTTATTCAGAAAACCATAATGCTTCTACTAACCTATTTTAACTATGAGAATATTTTGTAATTTTCTTTTAAATTTGCAATTTAACTCAAAAAGAAGGAATAGTTCAATATCAGTGTTGCCAGAATCGATTTTTATTTTTACTATGTACGTATGTACATATGATATTTTCTACAAATTAATACGATTCCCATAACTTTTAACCAATTATAGACTTGTGGTATATTTTATTGAATTTAGAGACTGCGGTATAGATATACGATTAATGACAAACTATTAAAAATATTAGCCATATTTCTTTTATTCACCAAATATTTTTCTATTTCATTACTCAAAGATTTTGCGAATACTAACATTTTTATTCAAAACTACGAAAAAATACACAATCTAATATCGCTGGTTTATAAAACGATTATATTATTGATATTTCTATGAATAAAGAAGTTAGACTTTATGTCGTCGGTAATGCTTTGATACAAGGCAGTTAATATAATCTATAATTATTATACAACAAAGTATTTACATTTATAAAAATAAGTATAGGATAATATCCTTGTAATTCTATTAATTCGACATTTGAAAGTACAAGTAGGTATCTATATAAAGACGTTTATATGTTTCTTACTTAACGCGAACGCCTGAGTGAAGAAATAGTACATACAATAGATTTTATGCTAATCCATATGCATTAGACTGACAAAGACACATGTAAATAGTTCATGACAAATGTGCTCTACTACATAAATATCAGATTGAACGTGACACTGGAATATTATAGGTACTTATTTGTCACTTGTAAGACACCCATCCATCTTTGTCACACGATAATAAAAAGCCAAAAGTTCTTAGTATAAGAAAAAAAAAACTGCAAGACACATGGAGTGAGTTCCCATTCATCATTCGTGCCTCCGAGCTTTAAGTAAGTAATGCTCATCCCGAAGAAGAAAATATATTTAAAGTGACCTCGAAAAATGTTTGGATAAGACAGTGTAACGTGTTTGTCTACGCAGTATTATTATATTATTTATGTTTTAATATTTAACAAGGTACTATTACTGTACTAGCCAGAAATCATAACTTGATCCGCGTGAATTAAGTGAAGTTTTATGTATTAATTTAAGATTGTAGTTAAGGTCCCACTTAGGGGGGAAAGGGACTGTTAGTAATGGAGACTGAGAATCCCATTGCTAGCAATATACCCAACCAGGTCGACCTCCTCGCGGTTTCCCCTGGAAACTATCATGGTTAATTCCTAATGAATTCATCATGATGGGCTAACTGGCCTGTTTTCATTCTCATCTATCACCCTTCACTGGTGCTCTGCCAGCGTATCCCGTTAGCGCAGGCGGAGTTACCATACCATTTTCACCCATCAAAAAAAAAAGTCAGACTACGCTACTGATTGATACACATCAATCAAAAACATTTAACAGTAATTGATTTTTATAAGACTTACATATATCAATATATATTTTGGATCATTTGCCTGTCTATTTGTGTTATCCTTCATACTCCGACTAAGTATAATATTTATATAGAAAGTAATAAAAGTTACCGATTTTAGGTAAAAAAATATTTTACAGTGTATAAAATTTGCTTACGTGTGTTTATATAAACATTTTGTCAAAAATAAAGTCGCTGTTTTTTACAGAACAAAATAATTTACATTTCGTTTTTTTTTTTTGTGTTATGAAATTTATTGAATATAAGTAAATATAATATATACTGTTAACAGATAAACTACATATAAAATAATAACAGTAAAAAAAAAACTGTCAGACACATCAAGCGCGTTGCAATTTATCATTCTTGCCTTGAGGCGTGACTTCAAAGCGTCTCAAACGAGGTCCACAAACGAACCTTAGCAACTTTAATCTCTGTTTAGATAGAACTCCGAGAAAAATCTCTTAAAGGAGTTGTCGGAATATTAATCATGATTCTCGAGTTAACAAGTTTTTCTTTGTGAAGGAAATATTATTGGCTACCAGTTTTTAGCTGAGGCGCCTGTTAATTGAATTAAGTAATGTAATAATATTTCTGTTGATGTTGCAGAATATTGACACTTAACAGATCCGTTTTAATGCTTTAATACAACGAAACTAGTCAGTTATAAATATGTGCAGAAATAGTTTTCACAGGTGTTTTAAGTTATAAAGATGTAAAAATATTTGTTTATAAAGAATATTCATTTTAGTGAGGACTTATATATTTTACCTCTATATATAACTCTATAGAGTTGCCTGACATAATAATATAATTAACTTGTGTTCCACAAGAACCGATTTCAATTGTAACAAAATCAGTTATTTTAATTTAAAACTAAACTACTAAACCGATTTCGGTAAAATTTCTATGGCACCAATCTGTAAGAATTTGCAACCAATTTGCAGGTTTACAACTGACGATCTTATGCGGTAACCAATTAAAAATACAACCAAGTTGAAAACCTCCTTCTTTTTGATGTAGGTTGAAAATTGTATTAAATTTATTCTTCATTATTATATGGGCTCAGGCATCGGTTAAGGATAAAAAATTTAATAATAAAGTTATCGGAGAAAACTTGAATTTATGATTGTGTTATTGTTATAGTAAAGAAAATATAAAAATAAATTTAATAACAGAGCAAATTATAGTATATTGCAATGTCGATATGATGTTTATATATATATATATATATATAAGTCCTTTTATTTCTTTACATAAATTAATATTTTAGAGTAATTTTGAGAGAGAATAATAAATAATAATTAAACCTGAAGTTGTTAGACTTTAAACTCAGGCATGTGAAAACCATTCGAATGTTACCTGCCTTGTACATATCAATGCAAAAGATCTTTTTTTTTAGATATTGCTCATAACAATTATGTCACATACCTACAAATTTATAAATAATTTAAAACGTTCAGATAAGATACCCGTACTCATCGGGTCCAAAATGTACGCTCGTAAACAATTTAAATTTTAATATCTCACCGATAGAAATCTCTCGTGATATTTTGCGCAATCAAGTATGGAAAGTTTTGGGCTGAATGCACATAAACAAACAATACGGGCTATTGATGATATTACCGGGTACAAAGGAGTAATTTATACGCAGACATTACCTGATGTGATTACTAAATTCGAGGGGCAGAATCCCTCGGTGTTTGTTGGCAACCCTCGTTCATGCAAGGGCAAAATAATGTTTTGATGTCTATCGACAATTTATTGGAAGTGACAGTTCGTTTTTTTTCTGCCAAGCAGTTTATTTGAGGAAAAAATTGAGTCCGTTCAACGGGACGGAAGTGAATTAACTACGTAAGACAGTTTAATTTAAAATTGTTTTTGTTGGAATAAGATGTTTATTCTAGATTAAGATCCAGTCTGTGAAAACTAGCTACACCTACCTGCAATATTTACAAATTAATCAATGTAACAATCGCTAGTTAGGAGCTAGCCAGTACGTTTATTTCTATTGAATGCCACAGAGGCGTCAAGATTTTGTTATTAGGTTTTGTTAATGTTAGGACGAGTGTGAACTAGTTACAGCTCAGGTAGCTCGACTAAATACACTAACGTGAGTTCGTACCCATACTTGAAAATTGTTCAACCATGCAATTATTATAACATATTTTTTAATACGATCTGTAATTTGTGTGTAATGATATATAAATTACATATATTATTATTTACAACCATATATAAACTGAAATATATTTTGGACAGAATATGTCCATCTCTTGTTTGAAAGAATACTTACGTACCATTACAGGCCAAAATAAGTAAACATTTGGTCTGAAAATAATAAAGGCGATGAAGGAAAAAAATACAGGATTATATTTGATTTGACACATAGACAGCCAGACTATAAAAGGTTCTTTTAGTGAGATATTAAACAAGTCTGACCTTCATTTTCCGACCTACAAAGCAGTGTATTATAAATTGTTAAATTAAACTTCTAAATAGGTATTTAATAATATTATATTTAGGTAAAATATACTTGTATATGTATAAATTTTAGAAGGAGTTTTTACTGAGATATTTAGTGACTGTGTGTGTAAGAAATAGAGAATATATTGCCTTGGCATTCTGAGCGTCCTATACTAACTTCTATATGTATAATTTTTATACAATACAACAATCTCAAATTTATTATTATATTTCAACCCACATTTCTTTTGAAAAAATGTTTAGTTTCACTAATAAAATTCTTTAAAGATTTTTAATGAGGCCTACCACTATATTCATTAAGAGGGTAGTCTGAAGCATTTGTTTAATATTGCCGTTGTGGTGTTATTGTTCACTAAACGTTTAAATAAATCATGATAAAAGATCATTATCTTTCCATACCAATCGTATACCTATATTAATACAATTTATGTGAACACAGGCAAGGGGCCGGGTTACTCGACGCCTTTGGAAGCGTTCACGAAGGGACCCAGGGAAAAGCTTTTGTACGTGGTTTGCGTTCAACCAGATCAAACCAAACAGGATTACCTAGCTACTGTTGACGTGGACCCGAAATCACCGACTTATTCACAGGTTTGTTTAATTTAAATTTTAAATAATTAGTTTTACTTCACGACTGCGTCAGCACTCGATAATAATGATTTACCAGGAAAAAATAGGCAATGTCTTTATTTATTCCAAATACTACATATATATATATATACATATACATATATATACATATATATATATATATATATATATATATATATATATATATATATATACCCAATTTCACGATAATTAGTGAAGCAATAAAGGGCTTAAGGCTTATTTAACCAACATACAATCACAGCAATATTTCCGTATTTATTATATTAGTAAAGATTCATATAGTGACTGAGGTTACGTAGCAAGAATATAAAGTGCTGCCACTACTTTTTATTTAATTATCCCTTTTAACAATTTTTTTTATTACTTTTAGTTATTTTATTTTAAAAAATAAGTACTCACTCCCTTATTCATAGCATACTATAAGGAATGAAAAAAAATATACAGGCTACTTTTATCCTGACAACTAAACATATTCTGGTCATGCGGAGGAAGTCGCGGGTAAAAGGTAGTAGCAAATAAAGCATATTCCGTCTATATATTTTTTATATTACTTCATAAATAACGAAATTGCAAGCAATTTCTTGTTATACCACCCACATTCCGTATTAGCAAATAAAATTGGTCGTCCAGAGACATCGCATCGAGCGAGTCCCGTAATCCTAAAGGATTCCACCATCCCACTACTAGTCTTATTGTGTACTGTAATGCAATACCTTTCGGGAACTAAATTAACAGGAAGAATGCAATATATTGCTGCTCGGGATTTATAGGGATTTCTGTAGATTGATTTAGAATTTAATGTAAGGTATATTACATTACTGCCTTTATACATATTGGATTATTTCATTTAATTTTTCATTGTTTAATAAAAAGTTAGGTTTGAGTTAGGTGGAGTTCGGAATTAAAATAGTTTCTGTTTGTTAACGTAGAAAATTTCATAACGAGATCGTGAAATGTGAAATATGAATTACAATGTTTTGAACTAATAAATAAAGTAACAAGATACAAGTACGTACGTAATAAAAATATATAGGCATTGAATTCTGAACCTTACCCTTTTTTAAAAAATCCGTATCCGGCCCAAAGGTTTCTATAATGCCCGCTGCGTTTACTTTATTGTGTAAAGAAAGAATAATTTATAGCATCAATCATTTCTGAGTTCTTTTATATGCTACTAGCCGTATTCCGCGACTTTACTTACTTTCACTTTATCATTTGTAAAGATAGATAAAACACTCTATGTTATCCTATACCATACGAGATATAGCTAATCAAAATACGAGTACAAAAATTAAATTTTATATTGGCTTAGATCTGGGTGAAATAGATTTTGACATCCACATGTTAATTCACTAGTTTCTTATAACTTTAACGATAGAGTTTAATTTACATTTAAATTGAAATACTTTTAAATAGTCCTAATATTGAGCACCTGGATAATAGCTTGGTCCTCTTGACTTGATTTAAAGACGAGCTATGAGAATCATTGAGTATCCTAAGCTCACAGGCGGTATCGAGCCTTTAAGTCCAAAGGCGAAACTTTGCCTCACTTTGTGTGTTCTATCGCTTGTATAACGGATTGTGTTTCAAGGAATTGTTTGAAATGATGCCTATAGCCACGTTTTATTATTGCACACCTCGCCGTTAACAGGGAATTCATCCTCACACGTTTGAACCTAAATGGTCAATGTATAGTGCAGTTTCAAAATTATTCTCTCCTGTGAACGCTCAGACTATGGAATAAGCTCCCTGCCGAGGTTTTCCTAGAGACTGCAGTACTACTACTTCCTTCCTCATAAGTTGTCCATTCTTCGAGTTATGTGATTAGCCCATTGCAACTTCAACTTGCTTATCCTTCGGCCTATGTCGTTCACTTTGTTACTCCTGCGGATATTTTAATTTTGGATTCTATCACGCAAAGGAACTCTAAGCACAGCTCGCTGAGTAACTTAAAGCTTTTGCATACGGGCAACCGTGTAAAACCATCTTTCTTTTTTTGTAGCTTTGTAGCTTTCGGTATCACTGGCAACACACTGGTAACAGGGCCGTGCCTGGGTATATGGCCGCCTGCGTGCCAGTCTGTATGGCCGCCCCCAGGATAACATTAAAAAAAACTACTTTAATTTTTAATGTTTATTATTATACACAGGGCATCAAACCGGGAAAAAAATCAGTTTTTGGTTAACCGAAATCGGCCCAGTAAACAACTTGTAACGATTTGGCCGCCTCTTAATTTCGGCCGCCTGCGTGCGGTGCACGCAATGAACGCCCGTCAGGCACGGCCCTGACTGGTAAAGAACTTAGTCTTCAAACTTTAAGCTATTTTGGATGAGAAGATGTGGTAAACAATGCTATAAATACTAATTATTTTCTTAATATTCCTTTAATAATGGAGTTAAAGGATTACTTTTAAACTTAATTTTGTTCTAGATCGTTAATCTAGTCACTTTATCACAATTCCAAATTCCAAGAAAACAATTAAAGTGTTCAATGAACTTTGTGATAATCTAAAGGTCATTTTATTATCGATTGTGCATTGTTATGACAAATAAGTAAAAATAAGAGCATTTAAAATTATATCTATAAATAAATAAAACCAAGTCGGGTTAGTTACATCATTTATAACTCCAGAACGGCTGAACAGATTTTGATGATCTATGATTTGTTGGATTCGTCTTCGTTTCGAATAGCAGAATAACTATAAAAATATCGGAAAAAATTACGTAAAAAAATTACAGAAAAGAATATTTTAGGCTGCTTAGCGGTACGAATTTTGACTGGGTAACTATTTATATAATAAAAATCCCATGTCACGATCTTCGTTCATATATTTATTGATAACAATAGATTTGTTTGTCATTGCCACTGTTCCACACGATTACTTGTAGTTTACCAGTCTACCAGAGGAAGATTTTGTACAAAAGTCGTTTGCTTGGACACCTCTGGCCCATTCGTTTTTCTGCCTTGAAGCAGTTGTGTTTGCATGGCTGTGTTACGATTTGAAGGGTGGGATATGACAGTAAATTTATAGGGTACAGAGAAATAACAGCTGAGTCCTCAGGAATGGCAATGCATGGGTAGTATCATCGGCAAAACAGTATACTCTGTTATGTGCATGGTACTACTCATATCTATAAGCGACGGTTATCACTTTCCATCAGGTGGGCCATTAGCTTGTTTTCCATTCTAAGTTGCATAAAAAAAGTTTCTATACTTTTAGTTACAAACCTTAGTAATATTCTATTCAATTCTAAATCTAAAAGTGAGCACGTACTATGGAGAAAGACGTAAGCTAATTTTTATTCCGGTTAATGAATACGAGTATACGTCAGTGTGTATAAAGTCGAAGATAAATTTAATTTTAAATCATAGGTACTGAATTTGAATAATTCCCTTCTATTTATCACCAGGTTATCTATCGCACTTACACTGGCAACGTGAAAGATGAGCTTCACCACAGCGGATGGAATGTTTGTTCTAGCTGCCATGATAATCCCGATTTGAAGAGGGATTTGCTTATCTTACCTGCACTTGGATCAGCTAATGTGTATGCTATTGATGTCGGCACTGATGCGAGGAAACCTAGATTACATAAGGTAAGAGTATTATTTTAGTAATCATTTTTTATGGTATTAGCAATATAGGGATAGTTGTATGCCGTCTGGCCCCGGTATTGAATAGGTTACCCCTTTTGTTCCTATGGGTGTCGTAAAAGCCGATTAAGAAAACTTAATGGCTGAGAGATAGGCAGCCGCGTCCCTCTTAAAACGTCACCAGTTTAACTGCGGATGTCCACCAAGCGACATTATTACTGGTAAAACCCCCCCTATGTATGAGTTCTATGTCCAGCAGTGGACGGATAATAGCTGAAATGATGATGGTGATGATGATATAGTTGTATACAAAAAAACTAAAATGAAACTAGTTAATAATGAACATATATATAATAAATAGAGACCAAATTACCTTCGTCGAGTAAGGTACACAAAAGGCTGATTTTATTTCTTCTTTGTATGGCCAGACTGATAAAAAAGCTTAGTGGTTAAAAGCGTTTATAACTTTTGGTTACTGAACTTCGGTTACTACAATTTAATAATTTTCAATGATTTTGACTGATCATTTAAAATTAAATTGTGCTATTTAATACGTTAACAATAAAATAATATTCTCATTAAGCAGTTAGTAAAAGTATAGATTTTACTTCTATCTTTTTATTCAGTCCACATTATCTCTCTGCTGGGTATAGTCATCTTTTTGTCAAGCTACTTGTAACAGTACTGTGTTAACCTCATCTATTACTTCCCTGTTATACATACAATTGCATCCGAATTGGGTTGATGATTTATCGATTGTTCTCTCTCCCTGTCTTGATTTTAACTGCAAAAATGCATTTAAAAATTTTTTAAGCAAAATGTGAGGTAAATGCAAAGTTTTGAGTAGTAGATTTATATGCAACGTATTCTATGATTAACATTGTTATTCGCCAGCACTTTTTAAATTAATCAGAATCATTGAAAAATTAACAGATAATTGTTACGTTACCATTTTTCGATAAGTTAAAATATGAACGCTCATTAAATAGGAAACCAAACACCTCGTTTAGGCAATCGGAGATTTATAATTTTATGGAATTTAATATTTGATTCTATATTGATAAAAATAAAATCACACTATATTAAGACTTCTTAGTATATGACAAAATATTTGACTTCAAATTTCGATATCACGTTACAGTTAGACGCAGTGCCATTCTATAAAACTTTTTACTATAGTCATAAAATAGTCGTATAAAACTACAGTTTAGCAGATAACCTCTTTTATTCAACTACCGGTTGAATTATAGTTTGAAGAGCCAAATTGTTTAGGGGTACTTTTTATAGGCACAGCACCGTGCTATTTTAAATATACCTTTTTTTTGGGGTATAGCTGAGAATTTATTTATACTTCTAGCTATTTAATTTTCTATTCTATAAATGCACATATACAAAAGTAGCTGTAAATCATAAATTACGTTAAAACATATAAGATGTGTTTATACTGTTATTAAACTTTCTATGCAGTAACAGAATGGAGATTTAACAATTTAAACTTTTGCTGTGCAAAAACAATTATTTTAGTTGTAATAAAAATAATATAGGATTAACAAAAAACTAAATTTTATCAGAATTGAAATATTGATAAGGAATGGCAAAGATTTTATGTAATAAACACAATAAAGCAAACGAACCGAGATGTTTCTGCTTACTGAAGTTGTTTAACCTTTTAATCGTCCCTGTCTGATTTTCCCGACTAAAATTTTCGTGCCTATACCATCCTTGTGGTATTTATCCGACAGAGGACCTATGATCGTATGATTGCTTTTCTCCATTTATTTGATTATTAAGTTAACATAGTGAATAAAATATACTTAAAGAATAGTTCATAATATTGTAGAGTTACTCGATATAGTCAGAATTATCAAATACTACTATCAAAGACTACTATCAAAGACTACAATAAAAAGTTGTCCATTTGAGTTAAGCATCAACTTCTACAAAGGCAAACAATTCATTCTAACTCAGTATATGTTGTTATATTAATTATTGTATATTATTTTCTAAGAAATGTTAAAAGTATCTGCACGTTATTCATAAAGAGTCAACGTAGAGGTTTTAATATGCATTTCTCGTGATTTAAGTTCCGAACTTGAGCAGAACCACGAACAACACTTGTTTGTGCTGGTAACTCATAAAAACTGAATTTTTATGTCAACAAATCGAGAAAACTTTTTTAATTCCTCGCGTTTTATACTTCACTTATACTTTGCTGAGTTTAATATTGCGAGGGTTGAATTTGCAGCTTATAGATTTAGGTACTAAAGTTGTTTACTGTTGCCGTTGGTTGTGGTCCCGACAAGTAAACAATACTGTTTCTTATTGCGTTTATATGTACTATCAAAACCTTGAAAATAACTGTGATCGTTAAATCCGTGCAATACTTTTACATTATGTAGTTTTATACTGTATTTACGAACTATAAATTTGTTTGCTGTTCTATAAATTTAAGTTGATGATATTTCTAGACATTGACCTTTTGTGACATATAGCTAGTCGTTTATATATTTTAAAGTATATATAATTAAACAGTCATTTTTCAGTTTCCACTTAATGTTAGATTTGGCATCCTTTGTCACTTTATAACTAAGATCATTCTGAATTTTAATAACGAAAATCCTTCTTTATAGTGAGGGTCTAAGTATATATTATATACTATGAGTCATCACCACTTATCTCCAGGAAGTTTTAAAAAGCAATTAAGGGAATAAACAATATTTTATATCAAACTATCTGGCCAATGACCAGTTTGATAATTGTAAACTGTTATTGTTCTTTTATAGTTTGAATGGTTATTAAGGTTAAATAGACACGAAAATTATTTGGATGTTTTAACTCTGAAAATATATTTATTTATTTATTATTAATAAATAAATGAAAACTCTTTATTGAACAATGAAGAGTTTTCATTCATTCATTCATTCTATGAAAATTAACATGTTTGAATTGACAATATTCACACAAACATTTTTAAAGAAAAGTAGTTAGTAATGTTTTTCTTAAAAAGATTGCCAAACAATCCATACAGACAATATTAATGTGCATTACTTTAGTTATTTATGTATCCTATTAAGAGAAGAACACAATAACTATGAGATCCCAAATTGCTTCAGACTCAAAGAAAGACTAACAAAGAGGTTTTATATTACATAGCTCAAAGGCAATTCTTATTACAGCTGTAGAATTGTTATAACCAGCGAACTATTGAATGCCATAACAATTGATCTCTGCTTTACTATAATTATAGTTGAGTGTCACATAGTTGGGAAGTGAATTTCGTGCAAGTACAAAGTTCCATCTCATCTCAACTCTGTCTTCAAACTTAGAACATTCCGACTCGTGGCAGACAGTTCACGAACTCGTTACATTGCCTGTTAGACCTTTGGTTGGCCTTTTTCGCACATTTTCGTGTTAATCTGTGAAAGACTGAACTCTTATCTATCGGGGTTGTTTGTGTTTCGTATTATCTAATAGTTGTTACATTTTTATAAACATGTTTGTTTTTACTATGCCGCTGTAGCGAATAAATGACCTCAGCTACAGTAAAAAATTGTTATTATGTTTATTAACAGAAAGTAGTTTGCATATAAATATTTTTTTTTATAAAAGCAGTTAAATATATCAGTATATTTTAAGGAAGTGTTTATATGTATCTATCAATAAATGATTGAAAGAAACTGAATTTGTGTAAGCATCATTTCAAAATGATTGCACCTATTTGACTAATTACTGTTTTGTCTTATTTGAAATTGTGAGGAGATGATTTGTATGAAAGAAAACGTTTGAGAACTCGTGCAGAAAAGTGTAAAATTTGTTAACAGATTTGTGCTATGCCGAGGCGGGTAGCCAGTATCTAATAAAATGAGAAATATATTGAAACAAAATATTTTATGATATCAATATACAAGCATAATAATATATTGGTAGTAATACGGTTTAATACATTGCTTCACCCAATACAATTATTTATATTTACTTTATATTTTGTATGGATTTTAAATTTATATAAACTAGCAATCCAGCCAGACTTCAAATGGGTAGGTATTAAGATTTTGTTCCACAAAAAACCGACTTCATTTATAACAAAACCAATTATTTCTATTCAAAATTAAACTACTAAACCAATTTTGATAAAATTTTGACGGGACTAATCGCTTTAAGTCGCTTTATAACTATCGGAGTTATGAAAAAAATAAACAAATAGAAAAAAAATCAATCGAATTGAGAACCTTCTTTTTTTTAAGTCGGTTGAAAATATAATTATTCGATAATAATATAACCTCCTATAGATGAAAGAATTTTTAAAATCGTTCTTAAGTTTATCTATTATAATTAATTAGTATCCACAGTACAAACTAGACAGCACAATGTAATATGTTTAGAACTATTATTAATCTTGTCTTCATTATTTGTTGTAAGATTAACGTTGTCTTTAGAAACAATGTATCTAATTCTCAGTGTATTGACAAAACAAATTAAATCCCGCTATTTCTCGCGCTCACTAAGAAATTGCATAAACGAAAGTACATCAACAGACACCCTAGTCTATTTATTGAGTGAAGGCAACGAAAATCTCATTACCAGGTAATCGACGGCACCGAGATGAGGTCATTCAACTGCAGTTTCCCTCACACGACACACTGCCTCGCGACTGGCGAGATCATGATTTCCACGATGGGTGATAAGGAAGAAAACGGAAAGGGGGATTTTGTGCTCATCGATTCCAAGACTTTGAAAGTGACAGGTAAATGAAAGGCACCTTTGATAAGGGGAGAACATTCTTTAAAAAGATTTCGCTTGATTGAAAAATATTTTTAAGGGACATGGACGAAAGGGAATAAGGCAAAGTTCGGATACGATTTTTGGTATCAACCGTACCATGACGTAATGTTTTCCACGGAATGGGGTACACCGAAATATTTTAAGACGTAAGTAGTATTTTTCGTTGTACTTTAATATACTATTCAAATGTATATGAACGTCCAATTAAAAAGAGAGATGTCTTTTTCTAAATTTTGAAAAAGTCTAATAAGAGGACTTTATATTTATACATATCATGTTCAGTAATCATTATAATGTTTATACAACGTAATAGTATGTGTTAATATAATAATATGATTTAATGTAGTATGAGTACATATAAAAAAATATCGGTCTATTTTGTGTTTCAATTCAAGGAAAACCTCGATTAACGTAATGAATTTTTCCTATATGAAAATATTTATAGCTAAATACTTGCAAATTTGTTTTCGTGATTTTGATTATATTTCATGGGAATAAAATTATTGTTCATACTTTTTTAGTAGATTGTTGTGACTGACAAAATCGTCTCTGATCATTTATACTATTTATTACTAATTCATGGAGTTTTAACTGTTAAAAGTTTGTAAAATAAAGATGTATAAATGTAAAAAGAGGTATAAATCTGAATCATTCTAAGCTGTATTTAACAATTAAATGACATAAGCTTGTGATACATTTAAAATTCGAACTCGCAACCTTTTAAAACCATACTGAAATATATTGTTTGTGTTATATAGTGGGTTCCATGAAAACGATGCATACAATGTGGATCGTTATGGAAGATCGATTAACATATTTAAATGGTCGACACATGAGCTGCAACAAGTCATAGATCTAGGCAAGGAGGGCACCGCACCCCTCGAGACCAGATTTCTTCACAATCCTAAAGCGGCAGAAGGATTTGTCGGGTGCGCTCTGGAGGCTAACGTTTACAGGTATGTGATTTGTAAGGATTTACTCGCCAGTCGAAGATATGAACACATGATTGGCCTTTTTTTAAACTAAATACCTATATTCGTGTCGTGATTGCTTGACAACTTATACATAGGGTGAAATAAAAATCGTTTATCTAAAAATCGTTAGCATCGTTTTAGAGTTATTTTCTACTAAAGAAACTGAACGTTAGTTCCAATGAAATATGAGTAGAAAAACCTTATAAAGTTTTGATCTATCCATACTATACTAATTGGATAGTTGAACGCACCTTATATTGTGCGGAGGCTTAATTTGTTTTTTTACAGATTTTAAACTATATTCTTCTAGTTAAAATATTTAGTTTTTCTAATAAAATACTCTCTTAAAAATATAGCAATGAATTATATTTCATCCTGTATATGATTTATACTAAACTACTTTTTTCACCTTTGTTATACCTATAACTAAGATGAAAAATTAGATTAAGAGAAGTAGTAGGTAGTTAACGAATGATTACATAATTTTATAAGTTTTAGGTAAAAAAAATAGCAAAAAATTTAAATGATTACAAATAATTTTTTTGCGAAATCACACAGTAGAAGTAAATAAAGGCATATATATTAGGAAAAATAGTAAAAAATAATAGTTTTCATATATTTTTAATATAGAACAGATTTCTACCGAGTACAGATTCCAGACTCTCACAGGGAGTAATGTTTTAAGAAACAAACCCAGATATTTACGTACTCTAACATATTCCTTGTGAGTGAAAAATAAAAATTCATTTATTATTATTACTTCAATAGATTCTACAAAACCACGGACGGAACATGGAAAGCCGATAAAGTTATCGACATACCGGCAAAAACAGTTTCTAAGGACGGTGTTGAATCCCAGCTTAATGGTAAATATCCTTTGATTAAATTGTAGTAGATTAATAAAATTTTAGGGCTATTATTGCCCAATTTAGTTAAATATGCTTTCAAGTATGCTGTAAACTGTTAAACTTCCTTAATATTTTTTTAAGATACTCGTATATAGAATGATAAACAAGCTGAGGGCTCGCTTGATGGGATGTGGCTGTTGTCATCTATAAACTAAGACGACCCTATGGACAACATATAATATACTGTAATGCCCATGATACTCCTCTTTCGTTACCGTTCTAGAGGACTATGACATTATGTCTCAATATCCTGGAATTTCACTACCATATCCTTTCAATTCGAAAAGTTAGAGTTAAATAAACATTTGTATTTAGAATTCATTCAGATCAGTTTTATGTAGTTAATTTAAATATGTAAAAAGCACATATGTTTTATATAACCTCACTCAGTTCAATTTTCTTTAGTAAATTACGCTTATATTTCAAGATGGTACTGATATTCTTAGAAACATAAATTTTCTATACAGAATTTACTCGTGTTTCACACAGAATACATTTTATAAAGGACACAGCTTTGTGTTCAAGTTAATTTCAATCCTTTGTCCTTGTTCATTTTACAATATGACAGTTCTATTAACTTACTGCTTTAGGTTTGTTATCGGACATTCTAATTTCTCTGGATGATAAATATCTATATTTGTCAAGTTGGTTCCACGGTGATGTCAGACAATATGACATAACTGATACAAGCAATCCTAAATTGACTGGGATAATAAATTTCGGCGGGCTCATTCTACATAACAATCTTAAAGTGATAGAAGATAAAGAGTTCCAGGTAAGAATTTCCAATTTTCCAATGCGGCAATACTTTAAATTAATGTTTCATGACTCAGCACAACTACATTTTTGCCGCGTCAGTCTTTTCATTTGAGTTTGTACCCTATGCTGTTTGTTAAATTACTCGGACGATTTATAGATTTGTTTTGTAAAGGTCGAATTCCAAATGTATATTTCATTGTTAAAGAATGATATATTTAGTAAAAGTAGTTGTGAAAATAATACATCGTTTGGGTGCCGAACGTTTAACATTACGCACCGAGCAGCGATCGATCGGTAATAATTTACTTGAAGATGGTTCGTTTAGACATGAAACACGTGTCGCAAAATGTGCGTGAAGAAAATGGCATTCGGAGATTGATGGTGAGGTTATTGAATTTCTGGAATGGTGGTGGCTAATCTTCGAATGTTGGCAGTCACACACATATTAATGGTAGCGGAATTAAACAAAATAATAACAAATAACTAATGATGTAGATTTCCGCAAGATAACATCTAATTTATTAAAATAATACATCGATTATTTTTAAACTGATTTAAAAGTGGATGAAGTTCTGTACTTGAATGTATTTTATATGTGTATGTTAAGTCATATACCATATATATATATATATATATATATATATATATATATATATATATATATATATATATATACTTCTCGACTTATGCATGTACGCTGCTTCCGGAAACTTGACTTTTCCTTGAGAAAACATGTAATACCTTTTATTCATTGTGGGTTAAATTTTATTCGCAAATTTTATGTAAAAATTATATTTGAAATTGAATATTGATTAAGTTCTTATGAAACAAACAATTATTTTGGAATAATTTCACAGGGTCGTGTTTCACCAGTAAAAATAAACGGCAAATACCTGGAAGGGTCTCCACAAATGCTACAGCTCTCACTTGATGGGAAACGGCTTTATGTGTCGTCATCACTCTTCTCGCCTTGGGATAAACAGTTCTATCCAAAAATGGTTGAAAAGGTTAGAAAGCAATGTCTTAATTTTCTGTTCTTAATTTTCATTCTTAAAATAATCTCATTTTTTAAATAATTGCTCAAGCTGTTTCTTTGTTTACTTCTTCTAAACCAGGTTTTTCTAAAACAGACTATGATACGAGTTTCACATTCATTTACAATTTTTTTTACGAAAGGTTTGCTTAATAAGATATATGTATATCTTAATAAAATTTTATATAATTACATAATACCAGTGCTAATTTATTTAATAAACTACTTTTCTTATATATTACAAAGCTCTTAATTTCAAAATCGTTACATTCAAAGTCAAAATTTCTTAATTATTGAAAATGCAAGTGACTTACTTTATTTCTTATTAATTACTAAAGATAATCGTGAATAATCAATAATACAAAATTATGAGATTAAACTTTAATATGTTTTTCTATTCGAACAATATGTCAAATAATTAAAAATTTACTTAATTGCAAAAGAATTTGTTTGTCATAAAAAAGTCATACATCAGTAAATTAATATGGAAAAATAAATATAATTTGTTTTGTTTTTTTAATGTAATATAATCGTTATTGTAATATTTTTTCCGGAACCAAACAATGTCAACATCAGAAAAGATTTCAATTCAATATTCATTTTTCCTTAGTAAATAAAATATTTCCATTTCAATATTTTTAAAAAATATTGAAGCACTTTGTCAAGACAGTGGCCAATGATCTAGAAAAGACCCGTTCCGTTGCCACGTTTCCGTTTGGTACAGCGTAACACATTACGTCGGTCCATGAATGTGACAGTAGACAAAGTATTTTTCCAGCGCACCCCACACTGGTCCCTGGCAGACCGCAATAAACAGCCCTTATCTCTTATATCAAAGTTTCGACCCTTTATTTATGCATTTTTCCCCTGTAAGCTATAGTTATTCTTCTTAGGTACATTATGCAAGGCTTGTGTCACCTGGGTCTGCTGAATTATTCATAACCTTGATACCCAATGTCTACATCGTAATTTTAAACTAAATTCTGATAAACATTACAATGTTTTTTTCGTATAAAAGTCTCAATATAGTACGTGCAAGAATTACACACGAATCTATTGATTTGATAATAAATCTTGATATAGAAGTGTACGTGACTGTATTGAAGTAAGATCAAAATGCAGACTAGAATGCAGAAGTCTTTAATTTATAAAATGTACATTTAAAAAAATAATAACTAGACAATAAATATAAAAATAAAACACATAAAAAATATAATATTGTAAACATGAAGAAAATATCCCTAAAACCAGTGGCTAAGTTTTAATATATATTATACACTTTTATATAAGTTTAAGATGCTAAGTTATAAGCGAGTGTATTTAGTGTAGATATCAGTTGCTTAAGATAAAAGCTATTACTTTTCAAAATTATTATTTTTATTATTATACAAACATATAGAATTTAAATGCTAACCAAGAAAATTGTAAATAATTAAATTTAAACAACTATTATAATTTTGATGCTATTTTAAGAGCATATTCAATAGATTAACATAATACTTATTTTATATGCCGACTTCGTACAATTGCATACCCATAGGTTTTAATATTCTATCCATGATACATTTTAATTATATTATTATTATAAAATTTGCAACGTTGTCTGTTTGCTAATCACATAACCATTGTACTTTGGTCCTACGTGTTAATATTCCTAATTTTTTTTTTTATAATCAGGGTGGATGGATAGCAAAAATAGATGTAGACACAGAAAAGGGAGGATTGCAACTAGATCCCAATTTCTATGTTGACTTCGGAAAGGAACCTAATGGACCTGCATTGCCGCATGAAATGAGGTAACTATGAATATTATTTACACAACGTTGAATATGTTACAAAAATTCATCTAGTTCCAACAAAACAGTACTTGTACTATGTGTACTAGACAATAAGCTTAATTATATATTTTTTTGTAAATTTATACACATTACATATATAAAAGAATACCAGACTAATATATATAAATATGCTCATGAATATAAATGTTTGTATTGTGTGGGAATTAAACATACAATCCTTGGAAGGTGGGTTTGTTTGATATATTGTTACAATAAATAAAATCGTTATGCCATAAAGGTAATGCATCATATATACGGTACTTGTAAGGCAATGTAATTCCCGAATAATAAGGAATGTAATCATATGCATAATATGAAATATATCTATCATTTTGACTTTAGATTGTAGTCCTTAGGTATCTCCCATAGGTCCCCAAGCGTCGCTAATGTATGAGGAGTGCATACCATGGATATAATGGTGTATTCTCTAATATTTATAATTCTGTATATGTCTTTAGATGTCAATTGCCACTTTCTTCAGTTGATGGCCTTATTTATAATTTTAAGTATCATAAAAAAATATGTACCTAATCTATATTAGAACGTATCGTAAATGTATTTTTTAACGTATTTTATATATTTACGTACTTTAATGCACAGTGAAATTTTATGTACATTTGATGGATTTAACACCGGACGGACCGGTTCTCTACCAGTCAACTATTGAGCAAACCAAGAAATAAGTAGGCGGTGCATTATTGAATCTGTATTATTACGTATATGTATTAGTACACGAAAAATTATTTATTTACGCGGACTTATAAAAGATTTTCATTTTGCATTAAGGGGATGAAAATATAAATATGTATATCTTCGAAATGTAGTCTTATTATCCATGTTTTATTAGTTAAGGGGAGAGTTGGGATCGCATTCCGATGTCCGGAAAAGGGTTGCGTGCCTCCATTTTTCTTCGTCTTTTTCAAAGTGCATAAAATTTTCAAATGTTCGTTATTATTACTGCGAAAGGAAGGGGGAGAAGTAATTTTAACTTTGAAGTCTATTTACTTTTTTTTTTAATTATCTGTAAACATTATTTGTATTGATTTTTTTTTTACTATTAAGGAGTCACGCCTTAATTTCTACAGATAGGACATGTTGATAAGGTCGAAGATAGGAATTACGGAGTTCTTTAAACAGTTTTATAATTTACCGTCGCTTGACACGCTTCTAATTTATTTTTTGACGGCGACTAAATTCCAACTCGCACTTCATAAATTAATTTCGTGTCAAAGAAAGTTTAGAGTAAGTTATTAGGCAATATTATTGGTATTTTTTATAGTAGTTGTAGTAATTTAAAATGTATGGGTACACTGAAGTGCCAATAACATCTATTTTTTTTATACCACTGAGGTAGCAAACGAGCATATGGCCCACCTGATGATAAGTGGTTACCGTAGCCTATGAACACCTGCAATACCTGAGGTATTACGCGTGCGTTGCCGACCCTGAAGAAACCTCTTTACCCCCCTTTTAAAAAAAACCATGCTGTAGTCTCTATTTGTCTGTAGTGCAAACCTCCTTGTCTATTGTTCAGATTTTGAAATGAAAATTATTTAATTGATAAAAAAATAAACAAAAATTTACATTTATCCCAATATTAATCATGTTTATTATTATTAAGTCTTGAAATGCAGGTTTTTATTTTTAATGGTTTAATTACTTACGACGTGTTGCCATAAGAATAATATTATTTTTGTATTGCCCTATATAACTCTTATTTATGACATTTTTAACAAGGGATTTAGTTTTTTTTTCTGTACAAATTATCAGCTTATTGATATTTTACTTCATAACTAATAACATGTTACTGCTAAAATGTAATAATTACATATATTTTTATTCGTAGGTATCCTGGTGGAGACTGCACGTCTGATATCTGGCTGGCCCAAGACGCATAAATATAATATATATGCAGTACAGTGTGCCAATATTTTTATATCCATATTAATAATCAATAATCATAATACGTACAGTCAAATAAATCTAATAAATATGTTATTTTGAGGTTACAGTGCTCTATAACTTAGTGATATTATTAAGTACGATATTATTACTTTTGAAAATTATATAAAGTTAATAAAATATTGTACAAAGTTAAATCGATACACATATTATTAATATATAGAGTCCAAAATATATTAATATGCAATAGAGAAGTTTTATTCATAATAATGTAATAAATCCCCCTATTACAATAATAATAAAAAATAGATTCAAATTAAATCAGATAACTTATTTCGCAAAAATGTAGGTACATAAATTGCATTGGTACATATATATATATATATATATATATATATATATATATATATATATATATATATATATATATATATATATATATATATATATATATATATATATATGTAATATATTGCATATAATTTTAGATATATTTCTGTTTACATTCAATAGAATTATTAATCTCGGTTAAAAAATGTTTAATGTTAATATTTACTTCCAAATAACAAATGTCGATAACAAACTACCTTAAGAAAAGTGGATGAAAATGGAATGGTAACCCCGCCTGCGCTAACGGGATACGCAGGCGGAGCACCAGTGAAGGGTGATCGATGAGAATGAAAACAGGCCAGTTAGCCCATCATGATGAATTCAACAGGAATTAACCATGATAGTTTCCAGGGAGAACCACGAGGAGGTCGACCTGGTTGGGTATATTGCTAGCAATGGGATTTTTAGTCTACATTACTAAAAATCCCTTTCCCCCCAGAGTGATAGGTGATAGGCTAGCTCCCTGCTAAGTTGTATTTTAATAATTATTATACATAGAAAAAACTGTCATATCAGTAATAGACAAAACCTCTGTTCCATCTTGAGCATATTTTTTTTATAATTGTAAACATTCAATTTTATAAACACGATCACCCTATTACAATGAATAGGTGTTTCTATTATAAGATTCACACAAAGAAGTTTACATAAAAGGTATCGAACTACGCTCCTGGGGCCACCAACGAGATAAAACTCCTTATTTATTTTATAGTTCCGCAGTAAAACAGACGTGTGGTGTGCTATCGAAGTTTGTATATTATTGTAGTCGTAACGTTTTCGTAGGAAATTTACACCGTTTCTGTGGCTGATTTGCCTTGATTATAATTTTTTTTACTCATCTGTTGAAAAAAGGAGGATAATGTTTTTTAAATATACCTCTAAAGTAATTTAAACAAATTGAAAGATTATGTTGTAAGATTCATGAATGATATTTCCAGAATAACTATCCGGGGGTGATTAGTGATCGATACTGATGCCGAAAATGCAATCAGTAAAATTTTTGTCTGTCTGTCTGTCTGTATGTTTGTTATAGAAACAAAAACTACTCGACGGATTTTAACGAAACTTGGTACAATCATACTTCATGCTCCTGGGCAGGTTATAGTATACTTTTCATCACGCTATGATCAATAAGAGCAGAGCAGTGAAGGGAAATGTTAAAAATGTCCACTCGTGCAACGCCGGGACGGGCCGCTAGTCTTACATAAAGTGTGCTTTTATTATAAAGTTAAAAGTTATTATACCTACTATATTTATTAATAATAATAATATTTATTTAATTAGACTACATAAGGCCCATTTTGTTAGTTACAAATTGACTTAACCTATGTTAGTAAATGAGCGGTCATAACGCTCTTACATTGATAACCTGTCCCACCCAATATTTTAGGATGGGACAGTCCATTTTATTAGCAATTGTCTTCAGGACACTGTTTGAGCTAACACGCACCCTACCCAACAGCGAAACAATTCCTTTGCGTCGTATTGCGTAAAAATCATCTGTACGCTCCCGTGCAAACATGTGTGACGCACTACAGTGACTAGGTAGCCCCAACAGTGCCCTGAAGGCATTATTGTATTGGACTCGAAGAGCATTGTAAGTTTTTTGACTATAGTTGACCCACAAGCTACTTGTGTAGAACACCTGACAAAAGACTTTATTACCGTGTGGTCCCGGCATATGAGTTGGGTTACCTTATTGTTTTCTGTGGGTATCGTAAGAGGCGACTGATGGAACTTAAAGGTCGAGAGATAGGGAGCAGGGTTCCTCGTAAACCATCATCAAAGGCCTGCGATTACCAAACCGTCTGTCAAGCATGGTAACACTACTAGTAAAACCTATGTTCCTATGCCAAGGCCTATGTTTAACAGTTTACACATAACGGCTGATATGGTGATGATAATGCGTGAATTTACAGGATACAGAGGAATAACACCTGAGTCCTCAGGAATGGCAACGCATGGGAGGTATCATGGGCGAAACAGTATACTCTGTTATGTCCATCGTACTGCTCATGTCTATAGGCGACGGTTACCACTTTCCATCAGGTGGGCCGTCAGCTTGTTTTCCATTCTAAGTTGTATAAAAAAAAGATATATATGGTGTACATATTTGTCTGTGAACTTTCGAAGTGTACAAAATCTGTTTATAATTTTATTCAGTACCAATATCAACAATTTTTACTCTTATGAATATCTAGAAAGATTTTTATTGATGTGATTGATATTGATTTTTGTTGATATTGTAATTATGTTGGAACTTTTTGTTATGTGTTAAATTTCTGGTAAATTTAATACGAAAAATCAATTAGTCAGACCATTTATATATATATATATATATATATATATATATATAT